GTGTGTGTGTGTGGTGTATTTCCTGGTTAGAATATCTGGACACCCACTCTCACATATGCACGCAAAGCAAAAGGAGGGATACATCAAAATAAGAGTTTCCTCTACATGTGCCTTGCACTGGTAAAAGCTAGAGAGGGAGTTTTGTCATTTTTGTCATTTCCAGTACATCATCATAATAAATTCCTTGAATTCAGTATCTTTCAGTCTGCATGTATTATTTTTATAGACCTCCAAACCAGAAAAAGAAGCAATTATTGAAGCAGGGTAGTGAGGAATACAAAAGGTGCAAGTTACCTAACCAGGAAAAGTAGTTATCAGAATGTTCACAGATCCCAAGCACTCTGAGATACCTCTTTGCATTTAGATCAGCAATCGGGATGGAGCTGCAGTCCTAGAGCCCAGAAAAACCTGTTTCTTGAAGTTGTCCCTGACGCAGACCCCTCCTAGCCTGGCAGCTGGCTGTGGATAGTTTCTGCAGTGTTGATGTGCCTCCATAGCCCCAGCTTTTGGGGAACCTTGCTTTCCTTTGTCTCTGTGAGGGTTATGTCCAGACTTTCAGCAGATTCTGCTTATCATGGAAAAGGCCTTCAGGTTTCACTTCAAGTTGACTTTTCTGTGTGTATTTTCTTTTCTATACTGCTATTTGAAAAAAAAAAAATGTGCTGTTTTTATTACTATAGCATTAACACTTTTTAGAAATGTTTTGTTGCCAGTCTTTTCCTTAAACTATGCATAGGCATCCGTGGAAACATGAAGGATATCTCTCTGGCTTTACGTGGTCTAGGTTGTGCAGGTTAACGTGGGACCTGATTTCGTGATCCAACTGTGTGATGCAGTGCAAATCACAGTCTGCACACCCCTGCCAGGTGGTGTTTTGTGAGCCTTTATTTTGTCCATATGCTTTTTGGATACAGGCTTACTTTAGACTAGGAAATAAAATGTTGAGTCATGAATAGTATTACTAAGTCCATAAACAGTTTTCTTTTTTCGTGATAAAACCTGGCGACCATGGTGCTAAATATAGGTCATCTCACAATTCTAGTCACTGTCGTTGAGTTTCCTAATGAATGCATTTTAATAAAAAAAAAAAAAAAAAACTGGATCTGGTGTAGTCAGAAAGCACATGCTAGCATGCAGGAGTACCTTCCACCAAAACAAAAAAAGAAAACAAAAGAAAGCTTTAAAGAAGTGGCTCTAGAAAGTGCTAGGCACCCTCCTGTCCACATGTGCTAGTCTGGTGGCAGGTACTTACGTATCTTCTTGGGAAAAGGCTTGCTGACCTCATGGCTGTTCAATCCCTAATGTCATTCTTGGCTGAAACATGGAATTGGAAGGCCCCTAGATTCCTTCTTCAAATGGGGCAGTACCTAAGCAGATCCTACTTAAAAATCGCCTGAGAAAGTTAATTCTGTCTTTCTCAGGGTTTGGCCCTACTATTTAAATACAGCCAAAATTCTCAGGAATTTTGTAACATAAAGTGTTTTGTGGGCAGTCAGGCAGATGCATGGGGGTGGCTTCCATTGCAAGAATGACCTGTGAGCCTTCCTTCCTCTGGTGCTTGGCCTGCATGTACCTTTCTTAGTGCCACACGAGGGGAGCTCTTCAGAAGGGCAGTGAGTGCATGAGGGGCCTTCCTGAGGGTGAAGCAGCTTCTGAGAGGCTTGGTTCCACCCTCCATGTTTGCACTTGAATTCCTCAGGAGCAGGCCTAGGGGGATTCTGCTCCAGGTGGCAGCTAACCATCCAGAGATGGGGAAGCCGCCAGAGAGCTGTTTGGAGAACACAGTATGGTTAGGAGCGCCAGTGCTGGTGTTTGATGGCTGAACAGTGCAAACAGTTTTCCAACTCCTATATTTCCTGGTCAGAAGTTCATCAGGGAGCAGCCGTACACCGCATATCAAAGCAGCCCATCACGTCCCTGTGCAGGGACTCTCGGCCAGAAATCTTACCCAGAACATTGGCCGGTATTGCACTGGCCTGATTTAAGAGATTACAGATGCCAGCTAGAACTTACTAGAAATTGCTATTGCTTTCATTCTCTGTTTGTATGTGTCTTCTACGGTGTGTTGTCTGCCTCAGTAAAATATGGTAGCTTTCTTACACCAAGCTGCTTGGAGGAAATTGCCAGAGCACTTGAGCCAGATCTGTTTTGTCTGCTTAGCAACCTAAGTGAAGTCATTGTCTTCCAGGTAGGAGTCTCAAGATCTGTTTGGGTAACTTTACTGAAGCCGGGTGATATTCTCTGTGATGTTATTGGTTAATGGAAATTTAACAAACGATAGTTACATCTCGACAGTGTATATTTCATGGAGCATTGAATTTTGACCTTTATACAATTCTACACCTACTTTCCTCACTTTGCTCGTTTTCCTGGTACGTAACACTAGGTAGTGTATCATTTTGGCCTGTCTCTCCAGACCTCGATGTCCTCCCACCCTTTATCTTCAATGCCAAGAGATTCTAAGAATTCCTGATGGTTGGCCTCTGGACAGCAGGGTTTATTCAGAGCAGGAACAGACTTCTGGTTCTTATGCTTGCTGCAGGGGCGCATCTTCCTCCTCTTCTCTGCAGTATTGTGCAGTGATATCTTGTTTGCACTGTTGTTCCTCATAGACAAAAAGGCTGAACTTCAGCTTGATGTTGGTATGAATTGTTACTCCATTCACAGTGAGTGATGTCTGAGTTCATGGAGTTTAAGAACAATTGAAACTAATGTAGTTGGTGGAGATCCATGGGGTTTTGTGGGATTCCAGGCTTGGCAGGGACCCAGCCCAGCATCCCCTTGTGGACTAGTTGCTTGAGTGTCACTGTTGATGGTGTTGCTGAAGACTGGTGCTTAGACTTTGTCCATAGCCCTGGTTATTTCTGTCTCTGAAATTCTCATCTCCTTGTCCTTCAGAATGGAGTGTCGAGAAAACAGTTCTTGCCTATAGCTGGCCGTCAGGTTTTACTTATGTTTTCTCTCTGTCTGTCTGTCTTTCTGTAATTCTGGTACAGGGAATTGAAGTCAGGACCTTGTACTTGCCAGGCAGGCACTTATGCTGCTGAGCTGTCTCCCTGGCCATCATATTTTATCATTAGTTGGAAGTCTTGGATCTGTCTTCTTTTTTAATTATTATTTTATTGAGAAACAAATAGCAGTGAGACAGTTTCAAAACCAATTAGTAGGACAGTTTCAATAATTAGTATATTGCATATTATTGTCTTCGTAGTGGTTATTCATAGTACAAGATGCAGACATATCCTGTCCAAACACTATTAGTACAAATCTTTTTTCTCATTGAATTAAGAGAAAGTAGCTGTATATCTATCCTAGCAATTTTCTATTAGAGATCCAAAATGGTCCTTCATTTATATCCCTGTTTTTTGTTAAGTTTTGTTAGAGATGGGTATTCCATTGCTATTTAAATATTGTAGGTACGTGAATTCAGCAAAATAATCCAATATAGTCCTGTAGTCTTTCTAGGCTGGAGAATTAGTTAAGAAAACAAGGATTATCTTATGTGGATTAGGATAAACATTTGTTTGTTTAGTAGGAAAATTTGGTGGTGCTTCAGGTAGTTTTCTGAAGTCTGTTGCTGATAAGTCTTAAATGCTTGCCCAAGGAGCTGGCAATCTGATCGTATCCCTGAAGAAACAAATTGCACAATGGAATATAAATTTATTTTTATTTTAGTAAAGCCTAAAGTCAGTTACTTTAAATCTAGAAGGGTTGTGGGACAAGGATGGTTTGGCTAAGTCAAAATTAGAGGAAGGTTCAGGGTAAATAGTGATCCCTGCCTGTATTGATCCCTTTGACATTTGCTTTATCTCAGGAATCGTTATGAATATTTGTTTTTCTGTTGTACTGTGGATGGGGACTAGGCAGGCTAGGGTGGCATCTGGTGTCCTCAGTCTCCTAGTGAAGGAAAGTGGAGCATGCAGGTGAAAGAATAAGGTTCTACTTTTTTTTGTTTCATTTTATGATTTTAGTGTTTTAATTGTTTGGATTTTAGGTGAACACCGAAGCTTTCGCAGGTGCTTTAGTTAGCAGATCGTTACTTCTTTATGAAAGGACTCAGAATAATGATGTGATTATAATTGCTCTTTAGTAAACTTTGCATTACAGACTCAGTTATTTGACGTTTGGACTAGCAATCTGAGATAGTTACCTAAAACTATGTAACTTGCAATTGGAGAACAGTGAAAATAAAGTTTCTCAGAAATTACATTATCACTGTTTCCTCTTAGGTTTTTGTTTTTGTTTTGTTTTTTTTTTTTTTTTTTTTTTTTTTGGTAAGACAGGGCTACTGTATAGTACAGGCTGGCCTTGAACTCAGTGTAGGCTAGGTTGGCCTTAATCTTGCAGATTCTACTGCCTTTGCTTCCTGAGTGCTGGGCTTGCAGCTGGGCACCACCCTGTTCTCTGGAATTTGTTTTATCTGCAGCTTTCTAGAGCCCAACCCTTATTTATGTCCTTGTTGTTGTAGTTTTCCAAACTGTGTAACATGGTAATTGTAATGAACAGTATTATCATTAGGACTGAATGATCCTGGTATGTATTACAAAATTTAGAAGAATGATGTAGGCTTTGAAAAATCATGATGTGTTCTGTGATCAGTAATAAAATAACACTTAATATTTTATATTATTAATTCTAAATAGTACATGATATCTTGGATGAGGATTAAGATGCAAAGTAATTCTTTAATTCACTGGGTATGGAAAGCGAAGTGTTTACATGATTTGGGGGAACATTTTTGAAAGACTCTTCTATTCCTAAAAAGCAATGTTTTACATTTAAATTGGAGTCTGTGAAATTTGATTAGTTTAATCGTTTTATATGCCCCTTAAACACAGTTGAAAAGATTTACAGTTGTGAGGAGTTGCACTTTTATTTTAAATTAAAGGAGGCAAACATGGAAGATGGAAATGTTTTGAGAATTTTCGTGAGAGTTTGTGTGCTTGCTTTTGTGTGATTATGTTAAGATCTGTGTTCTATTTGCTTAATATTATATTAAGGAAAACACTCTGTGTGGCTGAAGAGAGTGCTGCATTTGGAGAAATACTGCTCTCCGTTTGCTTCGCCGTTGGAACCTTTCGCAGCACCATGGGATTTTACTGCACCCACCCTTGCGCTCTTGAAGGCAGAGGGGTAGTGGTCATTTCAGACGCGCTCACCAGACCTAGGTGACGGTCTGCCGGCTGCTCTCCTGCCCCGGCCCAAGGTTCCGCGCATTCTGTACTCTTCTAACCTGAGTCTGTTTACTTTTAGGAGTGTGCAGATTGGTGCCTAAAATGGAAGTAGATATAAATGGAGAATCCAGAAGTACCCTGAGCACCCTGCCTTTGCCCGTGGCTGAGGTCAGCTCCCCAGGAAAAGCAGAGGCGGAGAAGCCACGCTGCTCCAGCACGCCCTGCTCACCCATGCGTCGGACTGTGTCGGGTTACCAGATCCTCCACATGGACTCTAACTATTTGGTTGGCTTCACAACCGGCGAGGAACTCCTCAAGTTAGCCCAGAAGTGCACAGGAGGCGAAGAGGGCAAAGGAGAAGCCTTGCCTGCCTTGCGCGCTAAGCAGCTGGACGCAGGACTGGGGCGTTCCTCGCGCTTGTATAAAACCAGAAGTAGGTACTACCAGCCGTACGAGATTCCCGCTGTCAATGGCCGGCGACGAAGACGAATGCCCAGCTCAGGAGACAAGTGCACCAAGTCCTTACCTTACGAACCTTATAAGGCCCTTCATGGGCCTCTGCCTCTATGTCTTCTTAAAGGTAAGAGGGCTCACTCCAAATCTCTGGACTACCTCAATCTAGACAAAATGAACATCAAGGAGCCAGCTGACACAGAAGTGCTACAGTACCAGCTTCAACACCTAACCCTCCGAGGGGACCGAGTATTTGCTAGGAATAACACATGAGTGACTCGTGCTGCCGAAACCACGTGAGGTCAGCCTGCACTTGGCTAGAGAAAGTCCCCTGCTGGACTCTGTACATGACTCTTCACATTCTAGATGGTTCTATCAGCTAAGTGTTTTTATGTTCCTGGAACATAAAACTTGGATCAAATTTTGAATACAGTAATGAAATCACAGGTACTTGGGAGGGGGGGAAATCTCATCCTAGAGCACGTACCTGCAAAGAACACAGAATGTTGACCGTTAGTTTGTATAGCTCTTTAGCTAGGAAAAAAGGCTTTGGTACGGGCATTTCATCTTAAATGATGCTCCAGTCGGGAATGTTATCTGCTTGGTTGTTGCTGACTTGGTATGATTCATTAGAAGTTTATATCTTCAATACACAAGTACTTCTCGGATCTCTGTATTTTACTATAAAATGTATGTAATGATTTGTTTTATGAAATTTAGAACTTGAACATTGCTGAATTGGACCACTTTTTATTTTTAAATATTAAGTTTAAATATTTTATAACTGGTTTTGCACTGAAAAAAAGTTAACATTTCAGATTAAGAGAGTAATCTTTCTTCACTTGCCTCAATAATATTGAGCAATGAATTTTTTATTTCCGCATGGAAAGTTATTGATCTCTATGGCTGTAAAACATTTCTTTATAGCATTATTAAAGTGTGTCTTAATAAAATTAAATTTGGGATACAAAGTATTTATTTTACAATGAATGGGTGGGGGGGGAAGTTTTTCCAGAAAGTTCCCAATATGAAGTTTTCATAAGTTGAAAAGTTTTCCTTAGTGCTTATTTTCTAATTTAAAATTCATCTGGAACTTTAAAATGGAAAAGAGTCCTTTAATTGTGGATCGTGGGCATAATGATGTTTGCATCTGGATTTACTGTAAGTGAACAGAACTTTAACAAAGGATCTCACGATTTCTACTATTGAATGCTTAAACTACGTATGAAGTAATACCTTTCAGCATGGCTTCGGGTCATTCCAGTTTCAATTCTGTGCAACCCAGCGCTCACTGAATTTCCAGTCTAGGATTAGGGTAGAAGCCTAAGGTGCTTCTACGGTTTTAGTGGGTTAATCCTGGATTACCTAGCAGTTTATGTCAGTTGCACTGGTTTAATTTGTTGCTGAAGAAGTAATGCTCTGGCTTTAGGAACAAATAGAGCTCAACTCTTCTGAAATATATTTTGAAAAAAAAAATGTATGTAACTTACCTTTTGTAAGCATCTCTCTTTCTCTTTTTTTGACTCTTGAAGGTGCGATTTATAACTGATTTGGCATTTCTGGCAACGTAGAATTGCATATTGTGTGTTTCATTTTGCAACTCAGTTTCTTAGGTGATAGTAACCTTGCCTATGGAATAAGAGCCCCTTGCATTAACAAGTGGGGTGATTTCTGGTACAGTTACGGTTTTTCTTTAGCTAGAATCAATGGCAAACTTTATTTAGAGCAGAATAACTATTAGAAAACCCTAGGAACTCTTAATCAATGTTTATTATACTTTCACTACAGCAAACCATGTGAAAGAACCTGGGAGAGTTGGCCCGGAGCATATTGGGTTGATCAGATTTCTTGTGGGGCTGGATATTTTCAGCTGTTGTATATTTTACAGTAAATTGCACCTTTGTAACATATTGTATTGACGAATGATAACTAAGATTAACTATATCTATACAGTTATTAGTTTGACAAGAAATAGAATCCTATCAGATGCCAAAGAGTTGGGATTTTTACGTTTAATGATTAAACACCGTTATTTATTGATGATTTACTGATGGAACTGTATTATTTCTAACTATGAAATAAAAGGGTGATATAAACATATATTGTTATGTGGTGTTTTGAGCTAGTTCTATTATCACCAGACTAGTATATTCATGCTTACATCCAGGCACTTACTTTAAGACCATAGTTCTGTAAAACAAAAGCTAGAACATTTGCTTTTGATTCTGACTAGCACTTGAAGGTAAAGGATATATTCATGACAGTGAAGTATGTTCAGTCTACTGAGAAACACAACTGTTCACCCCTGAGGTCTGTCCCAGCCTCGGTGCCTACATTTCTTGAGCTAAATAAAAATATATAACTTTGGGCTGAGGAGATAGCCGAGCAGTCTAAGCTCCTGCCTGGGAAGCACAAAGACCCGGGTTCGATCTCCAGTACCAAATGCTGTGCAGGGCCCAGAGTGTGCTGGACACCAAAGTCAGGTGTGGTGGTGCACGCCTATAATCCCAGCCCTGCGGGGCCTGAGACAGGAGGATCACTGTGGGTCCGAGTTGCATAGTGAGACCCTGTACCAAATAAGTAAATAAATAAAAGATAT